CCGCCCGCCCCCCCGCCGTGTAAACTACGTCCCCGCCCCCACCGCCTTCCTGCCAATCACAGCTCGCACACGCCTCTTTTTACTGTCAATCACATCCCCGCCCCGCCCACTCCCTGCCGATCACATCTCTCCCCACGCCACCCTGTCAGTCACGTGTCAAGCCCGCCCCTTTCCAATCAATCACATCCCGCCCTGCCCCCTCCCTGCCTTTCACATCTTGCTCTGCTCCTCCTTGTCAATCACATGCCAAACCCGCCCCGTCCCTGTCAATCACATGAACAACGCAACCAGAAGGCGATAACAAGGTGTGGAGAAGGGTCCAGACCTGAAACGTCAGCTTTGCTGTGTTCATCCAACTCCACACCTTGTTATCTCAGACTCTAGCATTGGCAGTTTCTACTATCTCAGAACTAGCAGGAGGCCATTCATCTCAGTGACATTCTTCCACCCAAGATGGCCATAGGATTCTCTATCGCACCTCCACCCTATCATGCTTTTGTCACTGAAAATCTATTTATTTCTAAAAATGTCTGTTTTTTTGGCAGGTTCAGACCATATACTAAGCGAAGAAATTTCTTCTCGTCCCAGTCTGAAATGGCCTACCACACATCCTGAAACCATGACAACTTGATCCAGAGACCCCAACCAAGGGCAACATCACTATGCATTCAATCTGTTCAGTCCTGCCAAAATTTTACGCCTCAAGGAGATACTCTCTCATTCTTCTAAACTCTAATAGATGTAAATCTAGTTAACCCAATCTCTGCTCATATCTTCCACAAACCTTCCATCCCAGGAGTCAGTCTCGTGAACCTAAAACAGCACTCCTTCTAAGGCAAGTTTTTTTCTTTGGTAAGGTGATCAAAGCTGCACACAATACTTCAGATGTGATCTTTCCAAAGCCTATGCCACTGCAGAAAGATGCCCTTCCTCCTGTACTCAAACTTTCTTGGCCAATATACCACTTGTCTTCCTAACAGCTTGCTGGCCCTGCATACTTGCTTTCAATGACTTACATACAGGGATAACCAGTTCCCTGTGTACATCAATACAATGATCTAGATCCTGGTATCTATGGGACAATTTCAAAGCTTTCAGACATTACAACACGTGGAAGCATTGTTGAACCAGGTGAACACAGTATAATTCCAAACAAACAGAGGCTAGTTGGTGGAATGGGCCAAAATAGAAGCATAAGGTCATGCATTTTGGTAGGAAGAGCATGGAAAAACAATAAAAAAAGGTGGTTCAGGAGCAGAGGGACTTGGTGCAGATGCCTGCTTAGATATTTTACAGTGACAGCTGAGGTGAAGAGAGCAGCTAATTAAGCAAATGGTATCCTGGGATTTGTTTTGAAGTGCTATAAAATTGAACTATGACTGAAATTGGATCAAACGTTGAGTGTACATTTTCCATTTCCACTCACCTTGCCGTCTCTGTGTTCCACAGCAGGAGCTAACTCCCTGAAATCTTAATACCATAATGCATAGAAGCAAAAGTAGGCCATTCAGCTCATCGAGTCTGCTCCACCATTCAATGACAAAAGTGATAATCCTAAAACTCCACTTTTCTGCCTTTTCCCCATAATCCTTGGTTCCTTTTCAGACAAAAAAAATCTAGCTCCTTGAATATAGTTAATGACCCAGACTAATCAGCCCTCTGCAGTAAAGAAATCCACAGAATAACTATCCTCAAAGAATTTCCTCCACATTGTGACGATGCTGTGGTTTTAAGAGGTTATTTTGTCCTGGCCTTTTTTTAAAAGAATTTTTAATACAGAGATACCGAGCTGCCTAGTTGGAATCCCAGTAAATAGCTTGAGAGGCCTTGGTCTTTTCTTATAAAACGGTTGGAACAATAGAAGCAGCCTGAACGGGTGTGGCACCACTCTCACAGACCAGAATTTCTAGTTTTTAGCATTTTAAGCTTTGAGATTCAGAACCTGTTGCTGTTGTTGGAGTCTCAACAGGGTTGGAAGCTGTAGTAAAGGTCTCCTGGCTGCTACTGAGTTTCCACTTGATATTTTTTCTCTGTGCTGCTGTATTGCATGTGAGACAATCTGATTTCTGACTTTTCCTTTTTGCCTAGGCGTGTGTATATGGGATGCTACTATTAGAACAGTAAATTGGTAATTGTTCTGTTAAGTTTTCCAATAACATTGTTATCCTAAATTTCTCTTTCTTTTGTTGTATTTTACTCATACTGTCTAAATAAATTGTTTTGCTTAACATTGAATAGTTTGACCAGTGGCATTGCATCTGCAACAGAAACTTTACATTTGCCTCTGAAGTAAGAAAAAGTTAGGGTCTAGGCTACAGTCTCAAAATAGTTTGAGGCGCTCTGGTCTGGTCCATAACAACATCTATCTTAAACAGCCAATCCTTTACTCTCAGATCATACCCTTTGATCCTAGGTGCTTCCTCATGAGGATATAAACTCTCCACATCTACACTGTCAAGTCCCCTAAGAATATTGTACATTTCAATAAGTTCACCTCTCATTCTTTTAAAATCCATTAAGTACAGGCACAACCTCGTCTTGCCCGTCAATCATCAGCTATGTAGCCAAATTCAGAACTGGCATTTGATAAGGTACCACAAATGAGTCTACCAAATAAGATTCCATAGGTTGCAGGTAGGATATTATCATAGCTGGAGGACTGACTAATATACAGAAGAGAATAATGGGGCATTTTCAGAACGGCAACCTGTAAATAATGGAGTGCCACAAGGATAAGTGCTGGGGCCAAAACTATTGAAAATGAATATTGATGACTTGAATGAGGAAAGTACTTTAGCCAAGTTCATAGAGGACACAGCAATAGGTGAAAAGGCAGACGATGAGGATAACACAGTTTCAGAGAGATACAGACAAGTTAAGGAAGTGGACGAAAACCTGGCAGATGGATTATAAAGATGGAAAATATGAAAAATGAGATTATGCAGTTTAACAGGAAGAGAGGAGCTGAATATTATTTAAATGGAGAATGACTGCTGAAAACTACAAAAGGAGGGAATTGAGAGTCTTCATCTATGAATCATAAAAAGCTAGCATCCAAGTTTAGCAGGTAATAAGGAAGGCAAATGGAATTTTAGACTTCACTTCAAAGGGAATTGTGTGCTAAAATAAGACAAGGCACTAGTTGGACCAGAACTGGAATACTGCAACCCGTTTCCTTATGTAATGAATGGTATACTGGTATTGGAGGCAGTTCAGAGGAGGTTCACTAGGCTGATACCAGGTATTGCAGGAGTGTCTGATGAGGACAGGTCCAGTAAGTTGGTCCTGCATTCATTAGAGTTCAGAAGAATGAGGACCAACCTTATTGAAATGAAAGATAATTAGGGGACTTGACAGGGTGGATGCAAAAAAGGTTGTCTTCCTTTATGGGAGAGTCGAGGACCAAAGGGCATAATCTCAGAATAAGGAGTCACACATTTAAGACTGGGATGAGGAGGGGGAAGTTTCTTCTGAAGGTCATGGATCTGTGGAATTATTTACTGCTGAGAGCTATCAAGGCTGGGTCATGAAGTAAAAATCTCTACCTTGGCCTTGAATATAATCAGTAAAGGTTTCAGGAGTTACAGGGAGAAAAGGCAGTAAAACACTGGAAGATAATTAGATTAGCCATAATCTCACTAAACATCAGAATCAGCCATTTCTGCTTTTACATCTTATAGACTTAAATCCGTTCTCTGTTGACCACCAGCCCACCCCTTCATTCTCTGCAACTTCATGGCCTGCACTTACATTTTCAATGATCTAATCTGCACACTTTTGCAATTTCTTCAATTCCTTTCACAGGAAGTTAGTATTGCAAGTTAGTCCAGAATTTATTGCCCAGGAGAACACTGGTTTATTTGGAGAAAGTAGACCTGCAGCATGGTGAAAATAGAAGTTCCAATATTTTGGCCCAATGGGAAATGATCCCTAGTCTTGATTGGCTGGAAGGGAAACTTGTAGATGGTGCCATTCCCATTTGCTGCCCTTGTTCTTGGCCAATGATGATGATTGTTTAAGTTGATCTTGCACTTCAACATCCCTTTGAGAAAAAGGTAGGCCAAACAAGTTGCCAGTTCCTTTTTAGTGGTAAAACAAAAGATAAAGGAAGAAGGTTGACAAGCAATACGTCAACACAGAGCTGGAGAACTCACGGGTGAACAATTTTGTACTGAGGTCACTACAACTTACTGGAGTAAACTATTCATGATGTACAATATATTCATAAGCCCCCAAAAGTAATATATATATTCGACAGCCCTACTAAGAAGCAGGCCACACATCCAGACAAAACAACAAAAGGGCAAGTCATCCAGTATGTTCTTTTGTAGCCAGTTTTAGAACTTGAGTAACTCAAAAGGGCCATCATCTAGTAAGCATATATAAATTGGTAGGTATGAAACAAGTCAGTATAGCTTCACCACAATTGTTTGAATTATGTAGCTGCCAAACACTTGTTTTAGAAACAATGTACACACTGTAATTCACATCTTTATTGATCCACTTGTTTTAAAGCTAGAATAGATTACAGTCTAGACATCTACATTCAAAAACTTTGAGTGCAAATAACAACGCTAAGCTTAAAGCAAAATTGAAGTCATTCCCAACTTCCTGAATATGCACGATCTAGAAACTGTTCTCTGGATAAGTCCATTTTGAGTACTGTTACAGAAGCTGGTAATCGGTGATCTTGTTTATTCGGTAATCTGGACAGGGATCCTCCAGCAGAAAAGATTGCGGTCATTTTCATCCTTCAGTTCCCATGAAACCACCAGTTTAATCTGGGAAGGGTTAAAGTTGAAAAAGAAAATGTTAATATCATTACCTAAAAAATGTAATCACACGTACATCTGAGAGTGCTAGTTCAACCATAAAGTTATTAGTCACCGTATTATAGCATTTCTAATTGTAAACTGAGGTTCTTACGCCTTCTGAGCCATAAGGGCTGGGTTCAAGACTCCTCTGCCATGGAAATGTGTCATAGCATGTCAGAGCAGTTTGAGTAAAATAACTACAATTTGGACTGATTCATTCATTGCTGTTCAAATTACCAGTCACCTGCTGTCCATTAATAATTATCAGTGGTGTCCAAACTGGAAGTTCCAATATGTTGTAAATCCCTGGTTCTCAAATCTAAACTGACACAGGCAAATACATATGTACCTGTATGGGACTTAGTTATAACTGTCTAGAATTACTGAGGTCCTCACACATGTCTTTTTCCAGTAAAATCAATGACTGTATCAGTGTAGTTTCCTGCTCTCACAGAATCAGTTATTTTTCTCCCCCCTCAATTTCTTTTCTTTACTTTCATCTGGTCTACCAGACTCCTCCTTCCCTTCAGTCTCCATTTCCAGGAACAGGCTGCCTAACATTCATCACAAACCCATAGACTCCCATAGCTAATCTCAATTGCACTTCCTGTGAGGATACCATGCCATCGCAACTGCCCAGATGCTACCTTCTATAATGGCACCTCCAACATGCCTTCTTTTTTCCTCAACTCGATTCCAGCTACTGAGATCGGCAGAGCCATTGATCACGTTGGACCCATTTCCCACATTTCAGGCCCGACACCTACTCTTCTGCCTCATGGAACCAAATAGAGTTCCCCTTGCCATCAATTTCCACACCTGCAGCTTCTATACTCAAAGGCTATCTTCCGCCATTTCCACAACCTTCAGCTTAGTGCCACAACCAAACAGGTTTTCCCTCCCCTGTCAGCCTTGCAGAGGAACCATTCATTCCATGACAAGCTGCTCCACTTCATGACCTCATTTCCCCTGCCATGGCACTTTCCAATACAATTGCAGGACATATAACATTTGCCCTTTTCCCTCCTTACTCCTCACTGTTCAAAACCCCCAACACTGAAGCAGGAGCTTGCTACTCACAATACAGTCACCTCTGCAGTGTGGAGACCACTTACAAACACAATCCTACATGGTCTGCAATCATGACTGTACCTTCCAGTCAAATGCCATTTCAATGCACCATCTCGCTTCCATGTTCAGATTTCTGACCTAGGTCTGCTGCAATGCTTCAGTAAAACCCAACACAAGCTGGAAGATCACCATTTCACTTTTTAATTGTGTCCATCACAACTTTCTGTACTCAACATGGATTTCCGCAACTTCAGATCTTGAACTCTGTCCTCCAGCATAGGTGGTGACAACAGCAGGTCAGAGGTTGGGAATTTAGTGCTGAGCAACACCTGCAGACTCCTCAAAGCCTGTCGATCATTTGCAAACATTAAGTAAGGTATAATAACATGATTCTCCACATGCTGAGAGGATGCAGCTTCAATAGCACTTCAGAAACTCAACATTATCTACGAGAAAACAGCCTGTTTGATTGGCATCACATCCACCACCAGCACGTAACCTTATTCAAAATGCACTGCAGTAAAATTTCAAGCATCCTTCAACAGTGTTTTTCACCATATTATCTCTGTCACTGAGACCAAGGACAGAAGGCACAGGGAAACATTTCAAGTTCCCATTCAAATCACTATCCTGATTTGGGAAACTGTATCATCCTTCTTTCATGGACCATAGAACACAGAACTGCACAGCACAGGAACGGGCCTTTCAGCCCAAGATGTTGTGCTGAACATGACGCCAAATGAAACTAATCCATCCTGCCAGCCCTTGATTCATATCCCTCCATTCCTTGCATATTCATGTGCTTATTTAAAAGACCCTTAAATGCCACAATCATATCTGCCTGGGCCACACCACAGGCAGTGTGTTCCAGTCTCCTACCACTCTGTGTAAAAACAACTTGCCCCTCACATCTCCTTTGATCTTTCCCCTCTCACCTTAAATGCATGCTCCCTAGTATTAGACATTTCAACTCGGGGACAAAAGATTTGGACTGTCAACCTTATCTATGCATCTCAATTTTATCAACTATGAAGTCTCCCCTCAGCCTCCACCACTCAAGAGAAAACAACCTGGGTTTTTCTAGCCTCTCCTTGTAGCTCATACCTCTAATCCAGGCTGCACCCTGGTAAACCTTTTCTGCACCCTCTCCAAAGCCTCCACGTCCTTCCTGTATTGTGGTGACCAGAATTGATTGCAATACTCCAACTGTAGCCCAAACAAGGTCTTATAAAGCTGCAACAATGACATCCTGACTCTTGTACTCAATTCCCTAACCAATAAAGGCAAACATGCCACATACCTCCTTCACTACCCTATCTACTTGTGTGGCCACTTTCAGGGAGCTTTGGACTTGAACCCTAACATCCCTCTGTACGTCAATGCTGTTCAGGGTCCTGCCTCTAACTGTACACTTTTCCTTAACATTTGATCTCCCAAAGTGCAGCACCTTACACTTAACTGGATTAAACTCCATCTGCTATTTTCCAGACATATCCGCAACTGATCTATATCCTGTATTCTTTGACAACCTTCTACACTATCCACAACTCCACCGATTTTTGTATCGTCTGCAAACTTACTAACCCACCCATCTCCATTTTCTTCCAGGTCATTTATCATTTATCATTTATCATCTCTCTCTTTCTCACACTCACACACACACACACACACACACACACACGAGATCCCAGTACAGATCCCTGTGGAACACCACTAGTCACAGATCTCCAGCCTGAAAAACACCCTTCCACCACTACCCTCTGCCTTCTATGGGCAAGCCAATCCTGAACTCATGCTGCCAAGTCACTGTGGATCCCATGCCTCTTAATTTTCTGGATGAGCCTACCATGAGGGACCTTGTCAAAAGCCTTACTAAAATCCATGTAGACAACATCCACTGCTCCACTCTCACTGATCACCTTTGTGACATCTTCGAAAAATTCATTTGTGTAAGAAAGATGTGATCTGCCCTGCACAAAGCCATGCTCACTGTTCCTAATTAGGTCATAGTTTTCTAAAAGATTTTCTGTAAATCCTAACACTAAGAATTCTCTCCAATAGCTTCCCAACCACTGATGTGAGACTCACCAGTCTACAGTTTTCTATTTTATCCCCTTGTCCCTTCTTCAAAGAGGAAGAACATTAGTTACTCGCCAGTTGCCCTGGTCCTCTCCAGTGGCTAACAAGGATACAAAATCTAGGTCAAGGGCCCAACAATCTCCTCTCTTGCCTCTCTCAATAACCTGGGGTAGATACCATTGGGCCCTGGGGACTTATCCACCTTAAGGCTCTTGAAGAGATGCAACACCACTTCTTTCTTGATATCAAAATGCCCTAGCATATTAGCATGCTCCACACACATCTCACTATCTCCTTATCCTTCTTCTGGGTGAACACCTATGCAAAGCATTCATTTAAGATCTTGCTCACATACCCTGCCTCCAAGCACAAATTCCTTCCTTTATCCTTGAGTGATCCTACCTCCTCCCTAGTTATCCTCTTATTTTTAATGTATGTATAGAATGCCTTGGGAATCTCTTGAACCCTACTTGCCACCATCATTTCTTGGCCCCTTTTGCTTTCCTAATTCCTTGCTCGAGTTCTTTCCTGCTTTCTTTATATTCCTCACAGGCCCTGTCCGATTTTAAACTTCTTAACCTCTAATCCAGGCTGCATCCCGGTAAACCTTTTCTGCACCTTCTCCATTGTTAGATAGGCTTTTTTTCTTTTGGACAAAATTCACAACCTCCCTTGTTATCCAAGCGTCCTTTACCTTGCCACCTTTGTCCTTCCTCCTTACTGGAACATGCCAGTCCTGAACTCTGATCAGCATGTCTTCAAACAACCCCCATAAGTCAAATGTGGACTTGCCTGATAACAGCTCCTCCCAATTAGCACTCCTTAGCTCCTCCCTAACACTTATGTAATTTGCCCTCGCCCAATTTAGTACCTTCCCAAAAGGTCCTGACTTATCCTTATTCATAGCTATCTTAAAACATAAGGAGTTGTCATCACTGTTTCCAAAATGCTCTCTCATTTATGGGTACAGTTAGCGTACCCATATTGTGTCAGTGGATGAGCCCTCCAGTATGCCCTCCGAGTGCAAAAGTGACATTCTTCCCTGATTAATAATGCAACTCCTCCACCTCTTTTACCTTTCTTTCTATCTCATTTAAAATAACAAAACCCTGGATGTTGAGCAGCCAGTCCTGTCCTGTCCTTCTCTCAACCAAGTCTCTGTAATGGCTACATCATAGTCCCATGTATTGATTCCAGGCTCTAAGCTCATCTGCATTACCTATAATACTCCCTATATTGAAATGAATGCATTTTAATCCATTAGTATCATTGTGTTCATTTACTTGTCTCTGCCTGTCCTTCCTTTCTGACTTATTGGTCCTAACATCTACCTTCCCCTCAATCCCTTCACTTGCTGACCTGTTGCTCTGGGTCCCAGCCCCTACCACTCTAGTTTAAACCCTCCCGAGTAGCACTTGCTAACCTCTCTGCGAGGATATTGGTTCCCTCCTGTTTAGGTGCAACCCATCCCTCTTGTACAGGTCAGTCCTGCCCCAGAAGAGGTTCTAATGATCCAAAAACCTGAAACCCTGACCCCTGCACCAGATCCTTAGCCATGCATTCATCTGTCCTATCTTTCTATTCCTTGCCTCACTAGCACGTGGCACTAGTAGTAACCCAGAGATTACTACCCTCAAAGACCTGCTTTTCAACTTCTTTTCCTGTACTCACTCCGCAGGACCTCATCCCTCTTTCTACTTATGTCATTGGTACCAATTTGCACAACAACCTCTGGCTGCTCTCCCACCCCCTTAAGAATTTCATGCAACCGCTCAGAGACTTCCTTGATCCTAGCACTAGGGAAGCAACACACCATCCTGGAGTCTCGAACACAGTCACTATAATTGGGCCAAAATCTTGGAACTCCCTTAGCAGTAGCAAGCACTCAGTTCCTCCTGAGACTCCAGGCTGTGGCTTGGCATGGGTGCCTGCATGGAGATAAGACTTAAATAAGACTTTACTATGTGGACATTTCTCATTCCTTTTGGCTTTGTTTCCTTTATTTCTGTTCTTTTTTAATTCTGGCTTTGTAACCAAGTGTGTAACCAAGATGGAGCTGGAGAATGGTGACTTTGTATGTTTTTCACTGTCCTCCTATATTCCTTGACAAGAGTACACGAGACAATAAATCTAATTCTAATTATAAATCTAGTAGCACTGAGTGTATCTACACCAGATAGTTCAATAAAACAGCTCACTACCACTTTCAAGGGCAGTTAGGGTTGGAAAACACCTATTGTCCTTGCCAGACAGATATAAAATAAAGGTGGAAATTGGACATTCAGGCGGTTCGGTTCAGAAAAGTGGAGCTCTCTTTCACATCAATCTGAAGGAGATAACAATCTGGTTGGTGCCAGTTGTAGTATTACAGTACTGTTGCAGTTTCTATTCAGTTCAAACAATTTTTCATGTGAGAGATACTAATATGGAAGATCAGTCATAAGTCAGAACAATTATTGATGTGATGCTCAAAACACTGCTTTGGTTGAACTGGATAACAGGCCTTTGAATCAAATATCCTACAGTTAACTGAAAATCGTAAAAAATGTTCTTCAAGTACACACAATGTCTGAAATAAAAACTATTCATTACAACCAGCTGCCATGAAAATTTGTTTAAATACAGTTATGTTGAATGGAATAGCCAGAAGGACTAATTAACCTGTAAAAGGTATGTAATTATACATGTCAGGAAACAATGAAAATACGTACTGATGGGTATTCACTTTTTACTGGTAACGAATTGATGTAGTGGTAGGTTTGATTGCTCCGGATGGGACACCGAATTCCAGATTTGCAGCCATCAGCATTAGGGATATGAAAAGGAATTGGAACTTTATTCAAGATCCCATGAACTATAGCTGTGCTTGTTTTAGTTGAGGTTTCTGAAAGAAAAATTGCAACAGTTAGTCCTTGTATTCTCAAGACTTCACCTATGATTCTCTGAACAATTTAGGAGCAGGATCACCTATCATTTCATTCTTTGCCATTTTGGAATCTTGAAGGAAACACACAAAACAAAGACAACAGGAAAAGCATGACTCAGTGTCTTGCATTTCCTAGTGCTTTAAAATTAAGAACCACAAAAAAGTTTGCTCAAGCAGTCAGGCCAACAGAGTCTAGATGCAGATCAAAATTCCTTGCTTTCAAAAAATAAACCTTTCTTGCTCTAGGCAACATTCACCATTTATCAGGGGTGTATTACTTGGACCCTTAGAGCTAAAACTTAGGGGTTCATTCAATCCAGTATCATGAGTGAATTTAATTATAGAACATTGCATACCGACTTCTTCCTCCAATATTTTTCAGATGATTACTTATTTTTCTGTCTTACTTCTGAATTTTGAGGTTCTTGCATATTCCAGAAGCTTCCCCTACATCTCTACAGCTCGTATATGATTGGGAGTTGTATTTTCCTTTACACATTCAGGGTCATATTTTGTGTAGAATAAATATTACGTGCAACGCGTTCAGAATTTTGTCAAATCTGAATAACCGTGTGCATTTTGTAAATAAATTTCAGATTTAACACTTATGTACTTCATGTACTAAAGGCATTATAAAACGCTCTTCAGTAAAGAAAACAATTTAATACATTAGTTATTTGAAGCATTTCCAGTTTCTTTGATAAAATCTACAAATCTAGCGAGTGGTTCTCAAATGGGAAAATTCAAATTAGAAATCCTTGTGGAACTTGCGTAATCCTTCCACGTTATGGAAGTAAACTTCAAAGCAAAAATAGTAGATTACTATACAATATATCAGGAACGAAAACAGAAATTGCTGGAAATGCTCAGCAGGTCTGGCAGCATCTGTGAAGAAAAAAGTCAGAGTTAACGTTTCGGTCCGGTGACCCATTTTCAGAAGGGTTCCGAGGAAGGGTCACCGGACCCACAACGTTAACTCTGACTGTTTTCTTTCTTCACAGATGCTGACAGACCTGCTGAGCATTTCCAGCAACTTCTGCTTTCGTTCCTGATTTACAGCATCCACAGTTCTTTCGGTTTTTATTTACTATGTAAGATACATTCATTTAAATATTTGGTATCGAGTCATACAGCATGGAAACGTACCCTTCAGTCCAACTCGTTCATGTTTGTTAAACTGAACTAGTCCCATTTGCCTGCATTTGGCCCAGATCCTTCTAAAACTTTCCTATGCATGGACATATCCAAATATCTTTTAAATGCTTTAATTGTACCTGTCTCTACCACTTCCTCTGGCAGTTTGTTCTATATATCCTGTGTGAAGAAGCTGCTCCCCACCTCCACTTTAAAATCTTTCCTCTCTCATCTTAAACCTATGCCCTCTAGTTTTGGACTCCCCTACCCTGGGGAAAAGACTTTGGCTATTCACTTCATTTATGTTTCTCATGATTTTATAAACCTCTGTAAGGTCACCCCTCAACCTCCAATGCTCCAGGGACAATAATCCCAGCCTTTCCGGACAACTTAAACCTTCCAGTCTTGGTGGTATTAAACTGGAAAGGGTGCAGAAAGAATAACATCCTACCTATAACAGGGCAACCAGAACTGTACTACTCCAAACGTGGCCTCACCAACATCTTGTACAGCTGCAACATGATATCCCAACTCCTATACTTAACGCTCTGTCCAACGAAGGAAAGCGTGCCAAACACCTTCTTTACAAATTGTCTACCTGTAACACCACTTTCAAGGACCTATGTACCTGCACCCTAGGTGTCTCTGTTGACAACCGGCACCCCCCAACCCCGGCCCTATCACTAAGCATGTCTTGCCCTGGTTTGTCTTACCAAAATGCAATGCCTCACATTTATCTAAATTACACTCCATGTGCCACTCATCAGCCCATTGGTCCAGCTGATGAAGACCACATGATATATTTAGACAACCTTTTTCACTGTCCATCAGACCATGAATTTTGGTGTCATCTGTGATCTTACTAACTATACTTCCTATATTCTCATTCAAATCAATTTATATAAATTGACAAACAACAGCGGACCCAGCGCTGATCCTTGTATCACATCGCTGGTCAAAGGTCTCAAGTTGAACAACAACCCTCTACCACCACCCTCTGTCTCCTACCGTCAAGCCAATTTTACATCCAATTGGCCAAAGCTTCTCCACGCAACTTGTAGAACACTTTTACAAGACATTTCAAGATAACTGTTCCAACAAAGCAAGAACCTATATACTGCAAATTTTCTTTTGCAATCTTAAATTTAGAAAAATACTTACTGCTGATGAAGGTGACATTCACAGCAGATGTCTGTCCTTTGCGAAGTATACATGGGAGAGTGGGGCAGGGGGTTATATCCACTGTAAGAATTTTTCCAACTGTAGATCCTACAATACAAGGGTGAATCAATGTCATAAGTTGTATGGAAAAAAAGCTCAGCGCATCAACATATAGGTCATGGGTAGCATGAGATACAGGAACTAATAGTTTAGACATCTGATTTAATCAAAATAGGCCTTTTCCTGGAGCTAGTAACAAGCATTAAAAAATATATATCTCCTCTATCTTCCACCCAGCTCTTCCACAAAGTCAGCTCCAGGTAATTCATTTTCAATATTTCACATGGCTTTGAGTAGACAAAGTTGAGATTCTTGACATGGACATCCCTTCACACAGGGGGTGCTAAGAGTTCTGAGCAGACAGGAATAGAGGAAACCTCTGGTTTTTAAATCTTTTGAAAATCTAGAGCAATTTCAGAGCCATTGCTTAGTGGACTATAGTCATAGTGTGAAACAAATGTTGTGCTTACTAGTAAAATACCACTGTTCAAAGTCCATCAGCTTTTTGTTAAATCAGATGACTGGTAGATCTTTTTTGTTTAGGTACATCAGCAAAAAAAAAAACAAAAAATCTGAAGATTAAGCTTTTATGAAAATAGGAGTGGGGTGGGGTAAAAAAAGGATTTAGTCTTATGGTTGTGCATATTTTCAAATTAGATTTCTGCCAAGCACACATGAAGACTTTCAATGCAGCCACTTCATTAATAGCAATTACAATCTGTTTAGACAGAACAATCTAGCATTTGTACAAGCTGTTTGTGGTTATCTAATACAAAGAATCAATAATATAATGCTCAAAATAAGTGATTATCTCCACAAATCTTATGGAAAATATGGGTGTTGGAATAGGAGAGAAGAAAATAGCTTAAAATTGACTATAATGCATTGACAGAAATGATGAGGTGTCATCAATAATGCTAACAAGTGCCACTTATTCAACATTAACCTGCTCATTGATACTCAGTTTGATTCTGTCAGGCTTACTTGCCTCCTGGCTTTTTACAGCCTTGGTCAAAACATGAACAAAAGTGTAGAACTCTGGAGGGAAAGTAAGAGCGACTGCCTTGAACATTAAGATAACACTTAACTGAATGTGACATCAAGGACCCCTAGCAAAACAGGAGTCAATGGGACCCGGGTAAAGCTCTTTGCTGTGAGAGTTGGACCTAGTGCAAAAGAAGTTTGGTGGAGATGCAGTAAGACAAGGACGACATAGAGGCTTTGGGTGATTCCAGGCAAGTAACATCTGCAGCACACAAGTGCCTGGGAATGACCATAACCAATAAGAAAGAATCCTATCACCACCCCTCGACATTACCATTGCTGAATCACCTATCAACATCCTGGGTTAACTACTGATCAGAAACTGGACTGGGTTAGCCATTTGAACACTGGTGGCTATGAGAACACAGCATGTAGATCAAGTGGACCAGAGGTTAGGAATCCTACAGCAAGTAACTCATCTTCCTGGAATACTGAGACAACAAGGTGCGGAGCTGGATGAACACAGCAGGCCAAGCAGCATCATTGGAGCAGGATGCTGCTTGGCCTGCTGTGTTCATCCAGCCCCGCACCTTGTTGTCTCAGATTCTCCAGCATCTGCAGTTCCTACTATCTCTGATACTATTCCTGGAATACTTCCCACTTGCCTAGATTTGCACAGTTCTAATGCGACAAGAAGCTTGGCACCATCCAGAATAAAGCACCTGCTTGATTGGCACCCTAACTAACAATCCCTCTCTCCACCACCAACACACAGCAGTGTGTACAATTCACACGACATGCCATTTAGACAGTATGTTCCAAACCAGCAACATCTACAACCAAGAAAAACAAGAGCAACAGATACATAGAACACATTATCTGCAGGTTCCACTCCAAGCCACACACTATCCTGACTTGGAACAATCGCTGTCTTATTTAAAGATTTCAAATACAGCTTCTTCATGTGACTGAGTCAAAAATCAAACTTCACAACACCACTTTGGGTATGCCTACAGTACATGGACTGCAACAGTTGAATGTTAAGTTCTGGGCAATTAGGGGTGGAAAATAAGTGCTGATAAGCGAAAGTAAGGGCAATATTCTAATCATAGTAATTTAACAAAAAGTTCAGACATTCTAAGTCAAAGTGTGCAGCTAGGGCATTGGTTTCTTTGACTTTTGTTGATAGAGGACTCAGTCACAAATAGATAATGTTTTGAGGTTTGAGAGTAAAACCCATATCATCTGCAGAAAAAATATGCAATCCTACATAGAAGGATTGATTCTCTAGGGGAAGATAATGATGGACACAATACATAACCGCAAAAGTAGCCACATCATACAACTTACTCATAACAGGGCAATATAGTTGCCACAGAATTGTTCAAATCATGAAAAACAATGAAGCAATGAAATGTCAAAATGTAAACTGCTGGAAATATTATGCCAGTGCACTTGAGCATATGATGTGAAGTAGAAATAATAACTTCACATTATTCTTCCTCACAAAGCTCAATTTTTAAATACACTTTCAAAAGCTGAAGTTTCACCTCATTCCATCTTCCAGATCTATTACTCCAGATTACATGGTATCAAGCACATCTCCATTCAATTTTTAAAAATGTTTGAGGGTTTCTTTCTCATCATTTCAGGTAGTGAGCTTAAGATCTTCATAATTTTGAATGAATAATTACTTCCTATCATCAATTAATTTGAATCTTCTCTTTGACATCTCTGCTAATACAATTAGGCTCTTCACGCTCACTATCCCTCAGTGTTGACACCTCACTTAAAATGTCCCTTCAGCCTCTCATTATAAAAAAACAAACCCAGACTGTCCAATCTTTAGTTGGAGTGTACGATTTCATATGCTTGGCAAAATCATAAAAATTTCCTTTACACATTTTCTAGGGTAATCACATCCTTCATGCAATATCCATTCCGGAGCTATACATGTTACTCTTAGCTGTAGTCAAACAAAACCAGAAACTGCTGGATACAACAAAGTTAAGGCTTTGAGTCCAGTGACCCTCAAGGGTTAACAATGCTTTCTCGTCACAGATGCTGTCAGAACCTGCTGGGTTTCTCCAGCAATTTTTGTTTTTGTTTCAGATTTTTCAGCACCTGCAGTTCTTTGTTGTACCAGCATTACTTACTCTGATACGTTCTATTAATAAAAAGATGTCCCATTTACTTAGAGATAGTAGGAACTGCACATGCTAGAGAATCTGAGATATACAAGGTGTAGAAGCTGGATGAACCTTCTTCTGAAGAAGGGTCTAGGCCCGTAACGTCAGCCTTCCTGCTCCTCTGATGTTGCTTGGCTTGCTGTGTTCATCCAGCTCTATACCTTGTATGTCCCATTTACTTTTTCGATTAGCTTTTCTGCCGGTCCCGTTACCTCAAGGATGAGAAATTCTTCTGCAACAAAAACAGAAGTTGCTGGAAAAACTCAGCAGGTCTGGCAGCGTCTGTGAAGAGAAATCAGAGTTAACGTTTCGGGTCTGGTGACCGACCCCTAGAACTTTCGATTTTTATGGAGAAGCTCTTCTGATCGTCTGAAATCAAACTCTTTATTAAAAACTATAGCCGGTAAAGGGCATCAGCTTAAACTCCAGTGGAGGCATTTTCGCTTCAGGTCACTTGGAATTTGTAAATTAAAAGTTCAAGAAGTTTTTTATTCCCTTTAGATCTTCGAGGGGAATAGTGTTTTTTTGGAAAGTTAACATTTTCTAACACGTTTTAAAAACGAATATTTCTCCTCCCTGAGAAAGCAACGATGTTTTCACTCACCGCACTCGTGAAACTTCACGGTCTCAGCACCACACAGAGTCCCCAGGGTCATGAGGGCTGCCAACAGCCGACACACGATCTCCATCCTGCCGGGTCGAGAGAGGCGAAAAGGGGGCTGTGAGGACAAGCTGAGACGGAGAGGCGGAGTACAGATGTTGGACAGAGAGCTCCGGCCGGCCGGCCGGCTTTAAAGGCAGCAGCACACTGTCACCATCCCCATCCCCATCCCCTCACTGGGGGCGGACTCATCAAATCCCTCCCACCCTCAACATGAGGTGATGAGGTTGGGGAGAGGAATGGTGTTAATGACTCCCAACCTACCAATGGGTCAGCAAGGTTGGCGGAGCCCAATGTCACCTCCAAACCCCCCACCCAACCCCGGAGGAGTGAGGAGAAGATACCCTGAGGGATCGGGTTGTTGTCAATGAGTCCCCCCTCCCGGAATAGAGAAAACAACCTTAAGGGAGGGGGTGGGGTGATATCATTGACTCCCCCCTCTGCCAGGAGACACTGAGGAGATGTTATCAATGACTCCTCCTGCCCCTCCCAGGAGACATTGAGAAGAGGATACCCTAAGGGGAGAGGGTGTTATTAATGACCACCACACCCCCGGAGACATTAAGGGGACGGGGTGTTGTTAATGACTATCCCCCCCAGCCCAGGAGACAATGAAAAGAGGTTATTTGAAGGGCCGAGTGCGTTATTAATGACCGCCCCGCCACCCAGGAGACATTGAAGAGAGGACACCCTGATGGGAGATGTTATCACTGACAGCCCCTCCCGCCCCAGGACCCATTGAGAAGAGGATACCCTACGGGGGTGGGGTGTTATCAATGACCTCCCCCACCCAGGACCCATTGAGAAGAGGATACCCTAAGGGGGTGGGGTGTTATCAATGACCTCCCCCACCCAGGA